ATAATTTAGAAGTCTAATAACAGCTCAGACTGAGAACAAGCAGGGATGCACTGATCAGAAAACTTTGGAGGTAATGGCCACTCTTTGGGGATAAAACTCACAGACCCCCAGACTTACAAGATTTATTATTCTCTCCCAGCCAAGGCTGCTTACAGAGTCCTGAGATACCTAATGGGGAACTGAAGGAAAGGAAAGGCACGTGTATTCCTGCACATTACAAATACTCTCCCCCACTCCCAAACTTGTTTTTGGAAACACACTGGAAGAGGCATCAGCAACTGACAACGAATTTTGTGGTCAGTCACAGATTAAACGTTTTCCACCTTGATACATCCTCTCAGTTTCTCCGCTATTCTTCACTACAACCAATTCAAAAAACTCTTTGGGCAGCTGCATACGGTGTAAAAGCCAGTGTAAGCCATGCAGATTCCTGATCTTGCAGCTGTGGGTGGACTGCAAACCACTGCCTTCACGTTAATGCCCAGCCACTTTAAATTGGGTGGTGCTGGCACATTAAACACTGCAGAAAGAATCTATAATTGCATTTTATTATGCTACTTAGAAAGGGAATCACTCCCAATTTATTCTTCTTCTTCCAGTGAAGATATTTTAATACTTTAAAAAAATTGCTGTAAATCTGTATAACAAGGAGAAATTTGAATTTCTGTAGGTTGTTCTTCTAGACTCACACCATGTAGCTCATCAATGCAATTACCCTTTTAAACTGTTACCCTCTGCAGTGACATAGAACTCGCATGAAACAGACCCGGGCACAGAAATCAGGCGTTTTGGAACAAGGTCCTCTCCCCCTGACATCAAGATGAGCAAGCGATTACTGAATTATTCTTTAGAGGAAGAAAAGGAAGGGGGGGGGAAACTAACTATAAAAAGAAGGAAAAAAAACCCTACCAAAAAAACCCTACTAAAAAATGTCATATTTTAAAGAAAAAAAAACTTCAGAGATTGCAAAAAAAAAAAAAAAAAAAAAAAAATTAAAAAGGGAGTTACTCCGTCTGCAAAGCTGGTAAAATTTTTCCCAGAAAGTTTTCTATCTCTTCCCTACTCTCCCTCCAAAGAAACAGGTTTTTGGGACACAATTGTCTAGCATCTTCCCCAATTACATTTAAACTATACTGACAAAGAATGAAAAAAAAGAAAAAGGAAGCAAAAAATGAAAGTTGGGATTTCAAAGCAAACAGGCTAGGAGGAGTTTTCTCCTCCTGCCCTTCTCTCAGTGTATTTATCTGTTAAGGTCTAGTCTCTTCAGTCATGCCGCACTGAAGGTATTAAGGAAGTCCACTCAATTAAATTCTATACAACTCATTAACATCATTTCAATAATGAAGTCATGCAATCAACAAATTTTGAAACTTACCCAAAGGCAGACAGGAATACACAGTCATCATGCAAAATATTCGCTACTCGTTCAAAGGTTCTGTAATTGTCAGAGTCCTTTTGCTCAAAGTATCCAACAATATTTCTTCTGCTGCGCTGTAAAAACAAAGGTTCAAGTACAACTTACTGCATATTATCAAAACCTATCATTTCTCCCTAAGGATATTAAATACGGAGGTGTCATTCACTCAATAGCCCGTAACTGTGCACAAGTCATTTCTTTTCTGCCTTTTCAATACTCAGAAGCATCCTTGTGAATATTTTTTCCAGTGAGGAATATTAGAACTATCCTGTCAAATACGACATATGATTCTTTTCAAATGATTTCAAGTAAAACAAGTAATTTGGTAGTGGAGTTGTTGTAATAAAACGAATGCAGTTGAAAGTGATTCTATTGAAATAATTCGTAATACTGGAAATGATCCAGTTTTCCAGTTTAAAAAGAGCTCTCACAACATTTCTGAATGGGGGAAAAAAAAAAAAATATATATGTACTTCAAATACACTATGTTTCACCCGTTCAACTTTTAAAAAGAAGAATAAGAATATATTTAGAAGGAATAAAATTGAAAGACTTACATCAAGAGAACTAATTTCTTCCAAATCCTGGACCTCCCGAATAGGGTTACTCTTCTGCTGCCGGATATAATCTGCTATCGCTGTCACAGATCTCTGGCCCCTGTATTCTCTCTTCATCATCATTCCATTCCGGAAGAGTTTCAGAGTTGGGTATTTGCTTATCCTGTATCTCTGAGCTATATCCGCTAAAAAGAAATTACAAAAATAAACCCAACACCCTACAAATACAGAAATACACTGACCAGGGTAGCTTATACACGTGTATGTGCACACCAAACGCCGTCATAGGCGAGAGAGCGGACAGCAGCTACAGTATTTCTTGCATGAACTGACCTTCATTAAAAAAAATCATGACCAAAATCTGGGGCAAGTAAAGACACGACTTGGTCAGCTATAGTCATTCAGTGCATTTCCTACGGACAACTAGGAAGGCCAATTTAAGAGCGTAACAAGAACATGAGAATCTTAGAAGCTTGCCAAATCTCAGTTAATTAATCCACATGAGAAGATTTAAAAAAAAAAACAAATCATGCGTTTTTTTCTTTAAACTCACTGTGGTTTCTATCTCAATTACAGTGCTGGAAATACAAATGTCATGCCTTAAATTTTAGAGAACCCTGTGAAAATATTTCTTGACGCCTATGAAGGCCAGAAGACTCCTGTTACAGTTCTGAGCTGTTCGTTTCGAACGAACACAAACTTTCATGTTTCTAAATTAAGGCAAATGCCTTGCTGGTCAACCAGTGCCGGGTTCCCTGCAAGGCAGTTCTTCACTCACAGCTACACATGCAGCCCAGCTTTCTTCTGGACTTGGACTGCACAGAGCTTCACACAACAAAGCAACAGGTATCCGTGTTCGTCTGGCATAAGAGCACTGGCTGGTTTCACCTTTACAGAACAGGTCAGTTACTGCACTCTACATCATTTGTAGTTGACTCCAAGTTATTTATTCACGAGACTTACAAAGGTAAAAGCAGAATAAAAAACAGAAAGAGGTTTTACAGTGAAATTAGAAAGGCAGCAAAGAAGAGAGCCGAGCAGATGCAAGAAAGCCGTGTTTCCCATGAATGTGCATCCTGTGTCCCTCATCTTCAACCACGACCAAGCCAACAATCCTTCACTACACCGCACCAGAGTACTTCAAGTGTCCCTCTGGCCCTCTTCCACTGCGGCTGATCACCAGGACACAGCAAGTTGCAAGAGGTGCTGCAGCGAGTTCCCAGCTACAGGGAACTTAAACCCTTTGCTACAGGGCAGAAATTGGTTGTGCGCATCTCCAGCGACTGCTTTTATCCAAGTTTGTAAGGACTTAACAGCTTCGAATGCTCTTCCCTCTTTCAGCTGTGGCTGAAGCTCAGCAAAAAGCTTCAAGGAGTTTTTATGAGGAAGGATGGGAGAAACAAGGGAACCAGATACACTTTGGATTCTTAGGAAACAAGTCTAAAAACAGAGACAAAGCCCATAAAGCCAAGTAGATTTCCACAAGCACTTTCCTTTTGCTTTGTTTAATGATGCCCTCCTGGAGATATAGCTAGAAACAAAAACCATCTCACAGCCCCTGTGAAAACTGGGTGTCCTCTGTCACAGAGTGGGATGCAGCTTACCTAAACCTCAATCACGTTTGTACCTGAATGCAACTAAATCCCAAAACGTGAGCAGTCTGCCCACTTTCCAGAGCTCCTTAATCCTTTGAGGTGACTCATTCTAGTCACCTACACCCGCCCCGCTCCCCCTTCTCCCTTTGTCTCTTTGACAGTGAACTTCAACAAACCGATTCATCCTTTGGAGACAGAGAACTTTCATCCAGCCAACAGAGAGAGGAAGGCATTCAAAGTGTGGGCTGAACGTGTGCCCTGCTGCTTCTCAATGACTGCTGAGAAGTCAGAGGGCACGCTCCAGGTGACCTGGACTGGCCCACAGCAGGAAGGTACAACCAAATGAGGGTCCACCAGCGTATCTGGCACAGTAATCCTTTCTGACAAGGATGTCCTTTCTTCTCAGTACTTACCACGAGGCAGATTTGCTTTCTATCTTACACTCTTTTTTTAAAAGAGAATGGAGACAGAAGTTCTGTGAAAACCATTCTTCAGAGGCAGCTGTCATGAGCAAACTGCCGATACCGGGCAGCTAACGTACACCTCTCAGTTGCAAACCAAAATTAAAACCCTGTGCAACTGGAAATAAGTCATTCCCTTATGGAACTGCGCCCATAACTGTCCTCCAGCACATAAAGCTCTCCACCTCTTTTGGAGTAAGATGTAACCAAAAAAAAAAAAAAATCTGAATTCCCTGCTGCCTCGAGAACTCTCAGTGAAACCATCAGTAGTTTTCATTGCTGCTGAAACACCACTAATGTCTTGCAGCTTTAGTTACTGAAAACAATCTTTGTGCCGGCTGCGCAACTTAAACAAGTCTGAGAACCGGAAACAAAACGTGCACAGCAAAGGAGTAACAACCAGGTCTGCTCCACAAAAATGTTCTTTAGCATCCCCCAAACCAGTAAGCTTAAAAGCTTCACCAGCTAAGCCCAGTTCCTAACAAGCTTTGCCATAAATAATAAATAAACAAGCTTTTCTATACAATACCACAGAATTCAGCCTATCAATTTTGACTAAGAAAGGACTTGACCTGTTTCCTAAATATCCCAGAAGAGTTCTTAACGCACTAATTACAGTTAAAATTAAGGGTAAGGCATTTTATGTCCTCAATTCAGAGTACTTTTATTTCAAGTTAATACAAATTTCTCAAGGGAAGATGCCAATATATTCAACATTAAGGAATATCAGATCAATACTGTTTTCTTCCTTTAAATTCCACCACTTTTTAGTTAAAGTACCTAAGAGCTGCCTGCAAGAAGGTGGCAAGTATAGCAGGGGAGGAATCACTTTATATCTGCTGGGCAGAAGCCAAAATGACGCCAGCAAACCAGGCACCTCCTGCCCTTCTCTCCTGACGACAGGAGGACCTTTGGTCTGACGGTACGTCAGTCTATCAAAACTTGACCAGGGTCCGATAGGAGACAAGGAGCACCACACTACACACCAAGGTTTTGCAGAAACACCTCGGGATTGAAGACTGTTACAGAGCTCCACAGCAAGAGAATGAAGAAACGACACATTTTTGGTCTCACAACATGGACTTTTCCTTCAGGGTATTTCCAGTTAGAGGAGGGTTGCAGAATGGGTATTCAGGGGGTCTTGAAGGTTCTCCGAGACGGAGATTGCAGTCCCTACGGAGGTGGATCTTCATCAAGTGCTGAAGTTGTGTAAAAAAATTAAGGGTAATAAAATGCCCACTGTCAAGAATGAATTCAAACATTATTTCATAAGTCAGAACTTGCACGCTCTTTACAAATTACATTGAGATTCCATGAATACTGGTATTTGAACTAACTCGGAGAGATGACAGTCCTACACAAGTAAGTATTTGAAAACCACCTTTTTACAAAATATAAAATGCAAGTACATGAAAAATTGTTTGAATTCATTCAAAAGTCAAACAGAGTAAACCTTAAATGCTTCATTAAGCCCTGGCACTTGATACAGGTAGAGTTAGCATAAGCAGAGCAACTACAAAATTATATTCCTTTTAAAATTGGAAATACACAATGCAAATACATGGAATATTGTTTGAACTCATTCATAGATCGCATTAGTTATAGTAAATCCTAAATTAAACTTAAAAATATTTCCAGGCATTCTCACTGCTGATTTTCTGATGAAAAGAGGTATTTGAAACAGACAAGGGTAACGCACCTAAAGAGGAAAAAAAAAAAAAAAGTCTCCCAGCTATGACTTCCCATTTTCTTCAGGTACTAAGGTACCTAAAAGGAACAAGCCTTGAGTTTGTATTTAGCCCAATTAACCATTAAATCGCAAGCCCAGTGTCTGGTAGCACCCAGTGTCTGTGCTATCAGAATGGTTTCACGCTAGTTACAACAGGAAGCTACTGACATACCAGATCATCTCACCTTCTACAAATCAGGAATTTCAAGCAGAGCAATGACTGCTGAATTCAGATGATTGTCTCCTCCCTGTTTGCACGTGTACCTGTTGGCACACAACTATTTCTAAACTGTCCACACCATTTTCTGCTACTCATTCTACAAACTCCAACAGGAAAGTCTTCACAGTCACTCAGTTCTCTTCGTACTTCTCCTGAACTGCTGAAGAGAAAGCAAAGCTGCTTCTCACAGCAGGGATGACACAGCAGCTTTTATTGTTGTTTTGAAAGAAACTTTTACATGAAGCCTGACATTTACACCCATGTTTTCTAAGACAGTCTCTCACATGGTTTTCTGAGCCCGATCATCCAAGAAAACATGCTATCACTCATGATTCGTACCTTTATCCTCTCTCTTGCACTGTCAGCCATTTCCCTCTTGTCTCCGTATCGTGTGTTTCTCTACTCAAAGGAATGCCAAAACCCACTTTTTGGGAGTGTGTCAGGCTTTTCACATGGTGCACACACACATTACCCAAGCTACGGCTTCAAGCAAGCACACAGTCTGTGACTTGACTCCCAGAATGCTTCAGACTCCATTGTTCTACGTTAACACCACAACACACTGTCCAAGAGTTCAGCTGGTATCACGTCACCGAGAATCTCAAGTCAGTTGTCACTAAATTAAAATCAGATGTACAACAAAGAATATGTTGAAAAACTGCACCAAGACACTATATATTGAAGTAGGTTCCCACCCACGATGTAGTTAAGATGGTCCTTCCCACCAAAGGGTCAGGGTATCACTCCACCATCAACTCAGGCCACTGTCTTGGTCTTCCAGGGTCATAATTCATACCACCACCAAACAAACACTGAAGTCTACAGGACTGGCTCTCAAAAGACGTGTCCACCAGGATCTGGACAATATTGATAATTATCCTAAATGTCCATCTCATAATATTAGGCACCACCTGAAGCAATGCACATGCCAAGCAGAGGGCTACAGCAGCCTGAAAAATTATCTGAAAGAAAATCAAAGTTCCAAAACTCAAACCTCATAAAATTAATTCCTGAAAATACTCGTTGTGTCCCTTTTTCTAAGGCGGGTCTTCACGCTGTCTGAGGAAGGGCTAGCACAAACTCAAGCTACTGCATTTCCTCAATTTTGTTTTTACATGACGGTTATAGGAGTTGCATAGCTACATATATATAGCTTGAATTTACTGGATCCAACACTAAT